AAATGGAGGTGCCAGTGAGTGGTTAGATTTCTGGAGTGTGCTACCTGAGACCACGGTGGGGGTAAATTCAGTTGCGGCTTTTAAAAGGGAATTGGATAATGATCTGAAGAGAAAAGCGTTGCAGAGCTCCAGAGAGCCAGCAGGAAAACAGTGGGTAGAATGGTCCCATTCTGCACCATATCCATTTGATGATTCTATTTTGGGTGTGATAATGAAAACTTGGAGAGAAGCAATCGAGCGACTCTATTCGATATTTATTACAATGGTATTTGAACAGCTGATGATATTTGAGTTCCAAAGCCCTTCCTGCTGTTTAACATTCATAATTTAACATGTTTTATAGTCAGCACTGCTCCGTATAATGAGCTGTAAGAGTTTTTTTTTTGCAGAATCCCTGATAATCATGAAAAATTAAAATCAGCTGGATATAATGAGACAATCCAGTAAGTGTCAGAGCTGACAGCTTCATCATATGTCAGTGTCAACTCTTGGAAGTGTAGAACAGAATAGAGCCATTCCCCCACATTGCAATGAGGCTTTGTCACAACATGTTTAAGTCTGTCACCCATAGTGTACGTCCATTCTCTTTCTGTCTCAGTGAGTGCTGTATCCAAATCTCCAACGTTCACATTTTAAGCAGGTTCACATAGCCTCTCAGGAAAGAGAGGTCATAGCATCTGAGTCTCACTGACTGAGAGAATTATTGCACAAATACTTAACTCCAGAAAGCTACTGCTAACTATTCTCTTATAGAAAATTGACTTCACTATAGGTCAGCATGAGTGATGTGGAGGTTTCTGTAGTTCAGTGTGAGCATGCACATAATATCACTCATTTTTCACCTGATCACTCAAGGTCTGACTAATTGACACTGAGGCGAGTTTGATTATAGAGCATTGCGCTCAGTCCTGGCTACCCTGTTAGAAAAAGGGCAGAGAGGCACTGGAGAATTGATTAGAATGTGGAACACACTGCCTTGTGGCACACAGGTATTGATGAAATGAAGTTGAATTAAGATTGAAGGATCCTTCAATTGGTTCCAATCAAAGAAGTTGTGAGAATACTCACTGGAGCATAAACACCAGCCAGGATCAGTTTAACTGAATGATTGGTTGGTTTCTGCCTGACAGATACTATGGAATAGAATGGATGTCATTCTCACATGTACACATTTTGCTTCATAGATTTTAGTGTAAATTACATTATAATTAGAGTTTTTCCACTTTAAGTAAGAATTGAGAGTTGAATATTCTCTAGGGTCAGGTGAGTTGGTAACCAGAAAGCTATTCTGTGTTTGTTGTACTTGCAGATTGAATTCTGGCAATGGACTTTACAATTCGGAAGCTTTAGACTGCATGAAATTATAAGACGGTGGGATATAGAAGCAGAAATAGGCCATTTGGTCTATTGAGTCTGCTGTATCATTTTGAGATCATGGCTGATCAGATAATCCCCAACTCCAATTTCCTGCTTTTTCCCCATAACCCCAATTCCCTTACTGATTAAAAATCTATCTGTCTCAGCCTTGCGTACACTGACAACCCAACCTCAACAGCCCTCTGTGGTAAAGAAGTCATTCCCCTCAGAGAGAAGAAATTGCTCTTCATCTCTATCCTGAATGGGTGATGCTGTCCTCCGCACAGGAAAACAACCTCCATAGAATTGAATCCCTACGGTGTGGAAGCAGGCCATTCAGCCCACAGAATCCACACCGACCATTCAGACAGTATCCCACCCAGACCCTTCCCCTTATATTTCCCATGGCGAATCCACCTACCTTGCACATCCCTAGACACTATGGGCAATTTAGCATAACCAATCCGCTGAACCTGCACATTTTTGGATGGTGGGAGGTATCCCATGTGGACCCAGGGAAAACGTTGCCCAAGGCTGGAAGCAAACCTGGGTTCCTGGTGCTGTGAGGCAGCAGTGTTAACCACTGAGCCATCGTAACCTCTCAGCATCTATCCTGTCAAGCCCCCAGAAATTAACTTTTAATAAGTTCCTCTGTCATTCACTTAAAGTTCAATGAGTACAGGGCCCAACCTATTCAATCTTTCCTTGTCAGAACATTCCTGTATTCCCAGGATCAACCTAATGAACTTTCTCTGGACGCCACCCACCGTAACCACCGTTGACAAGTATTACACCTCACAATTGAAGTCCATGTACACTCTGATTTCTAACTGATATCTAATTCTGATATCCTCGTTATAATTGATAGTACTTGATAATATACATGTCCCAGGCTTGTGTCCGATCAGGTTCGATTAAGAAAAGTATTCCACTTTCCGTATAATATGCATATTCCTTCTCCATGAGAAATGGTCTTGGTGTGGGAAAATACTACGGACGATACATTCATTTTGAACTATCATGTTTGAAATTGCTTTTCCTGGTGTGTTTTTTGCCAATTGCTTTACAATATGATAATATACACAACACAATATTAATAACGTATAAATATTAATACTAGTGTAATATTTTTGTCGGGTTGAGCTCCAAAATAGAATTCATACCTGCACTCTGCAAATTCTCACTCTGTTCTCATCTGTTGGCTCACATGCAGCCGTCAGATGAAGCTAGCTTAGCTGCAACACTGGTAGATCATCACCAGCACTTCAGAAGTATTGCAGGAAACTTTGTTTGAACAGATCACTGGTTCCTATACAGGGGAAACAACAGTCTCAAAATAAAAAAAAACACTTTAAATGCAATCTTGAATAATTAAGTATTGTCTTTTCAGTGTGAAATGTTTTAAGCTCAACCAAAATGAACTTTCTTTTAAAATAAAGTCAGAAGACACACAACACCAGGTTATAGTCTGATAGGTTTATTTGAAATCACAAGGTTTCGGAGCACTGCTCTGAAAGCGTATGATTTCAAATAAACCTGTCGGACTGTAACCTGGTATCATGTGACTTCTAACTTTGTCCACTCCAGTCCAACACCAGCACCTCCACATTATGGCTACCATTTCTTTTTAAATGGCCATTGGATCAGAAACTATTTAATCAAGTTTAGAGTGTATTTTTGAACAAATTAAACCTCATGGAACAAAAGGCAAATAACTTAATCAGAAGAAGAGTGAAGCTTTCCACAAATAACTAAATAAAGTATCACTTAAAGCATAATTTTATAAATAATGAAATTCCAACTATTGTAACTTTTGCTTTCGAGTGAAAACTGAAGGGAATAAAATAAGAATCAAAGAAATCCACAGCAATTGAACAGCTGGAGTAAGAAATAACAGATGAATCTTAAGTTGATTGTAAGAGAGATAAATGGAAGTTAATAAGTATATAAACAAGAAATGTGAAGATGTGGTATTAATTTGACCCAATTACTGAATGTCATTATTCATTGACCATGGTAAGTTACCAAGAAGGCTAATCACAAGTTGAGAAGAGTCTTGACAGGATTTGGCTACAAATTGAAACCAGCTGTCTTAACCCACATAACTATTGTGTGGTTTCAAATAGCAGGTTGGCTAAAGGATATTAATACATTACCGAGGATTCAGGAAAGATTGATGGGAGTGATTGTAGGACTGGGAGTTTCTGAGTTGCAAGATGAGAGTCACTTAACTGAATATGTTTATATTGGAGAAAAGTAGTTTGAAGAGGAATGTGACCTGAATTTTTCAGATGATGCCTTCAGTAGATTTTGTTATTTTGATAGTGAGTGTTCAAGACATCATTCATTTTAGTCCTGCAAAGTTTCTTCTGAAATCCAGTTTTGCCAATATGTAAGTCATTGTGAGTAACTGTAACTGTTAAATGAATAATTTTTGGTGGATAGTCAAAGGCAAACTGATGAGACGCAACAGGAGAGCAAGGTTATGGCATGTGTTTATAGCTCATTGATTGGAGAGGGGCTGCTGAATTCTAAGGAAGGAAGGATTTCATTCATTGACATGATATGGCTGACAGTGGGGCAACTTTAATTGCCCATCTGAGTCCTCCCCTAAAGAAAATTAGTGAAACATAACATTGGACACCAGTGATGAAACATTTTACTCCAGCTTTAGCTAACAAAGTGTTTTTAAATTCCTCAACAGCCATGGTGGGATTTGAACTCCTACCTCTAGACTGGCATTCTTGCAAATTGTCCCGATAAGCGTAAATAAATATGCAGAAATGTCTTTTCTTCAACAATACAATCTCCAAAATACTAGGGCACGCTCTGAATCGCTGGTCATGTGATGTAAACACAATGGGCAAAATCTCCTCCTTACTGGAGGAGGCAACAAGGGGAAATGATTGATTGTGTGAGTTGACATGGGAGGGATTACTGGAACCCTTATCGCCACCTCTGAAGTTAAGTACTGGGCAAGAAGGTCCACTGGGGACCTCCTCAACTTGCCACCGATTAAGGCTCTAAAGTGGCCAGTTAACTGCCTTAACATACCACCTCCAGGACTACCTGCCCCGCCAGTGGGTCGGAGAGGAGACTGTTTTCTCACCTGCCTGCCGAGTCTAGGGGAGCACCTCCAACCCTCCAATCTTAAGGCAGTCAGAGGCGGGAAGGTGGGATAAGGAAATGATCACTGAAACCAGCCCCCTGCCCGTGACTCTGACCCTCTGAAGCCTCTGATTGCCCAAAAGCTTCTGACGAATATCACAGTGCCCGATAGGTGAGCTTCTTGACCTATCAGCTCTTAATAAGTTTTTAGGTGCATGATATGGTGAGTGATCTCATTGGTGGGAATGGAGGAACATGTTAGTGCCACCAATCATACTCCCCTGATATTTAGGCCAGGTTTTGTTGACTTTGTTGCCATACCCTGCGTTCCTTATCATGCCACAATTCATTCTTGGTTGAGTACCTGTGCCCTTTCCAGTTTTTGAAGATGGATATTCATATCTTTGCAAAAGGTTCGAGGTTTTTTATTATTTAGAATAAGTCTGTACTTTTCTCAGAAATTGAGAAGTTGCAAGTCAGACATTTAAACTGGAAAAGGGTTTAATCACTAACATTTGTGTGTTTAAATTGTACAGGGTGAAAGTGGCATTCCAGGGAAAGATGGTGCCGTAGGCCAGAAAGTAAGTCTGTTCTCATGACATTGTCTTGTGTCAATATGTAACATAGATAAACAGCTAAAGTTGTGGAGTCCACTTCATTGTTGAAAATGCTCAAATATCAATATAAACTATGCATTCATATGTCTCTAACAAATCTGCAATTGTGAAGCAGGTTGTGGTAAGTCATTTCTACACTTGGACATATATCTTGTACATGATCACCTCTGGAATCCCACTGTGATCTGTGTTTGCCCTTCGCTCTCCCCCCCTTCCCCATTTCCTGTCTTCCTGCAGTACCCCTGTGCTATTATCTAAAGATATGACACCAGGTTTGATATACAATAAACCATCTCGTTCTCAAGCTAACATTTCTGTCCTTGGCCTGCTACAGTGTTCTAGTGAAACTCAACACAAATCAGAGGAACAACATCTCAATTCCCACTTAGGCACTTTATACACTAAAGGCACCATAGTCTAAACGAACCATAGGGCTGCTCTCTCGAGGGAGAGATAGAGATAGAGGTGGAGGGTGCTGGTGGTGGATTAATCTGAGGATCATCACACCTTAGAGGAGCGAAGAGGTTGAGAAGGAGAATCCTTCATGATAATCTCAACCAGTGCAGGAATTGCACCCACACTGTTGACATCACTGTGTCTCACAACCAGCCATCCAGCTAGGGATGGGTTAGCTCAGTTTGTTGGACAGCTGGCTTACAAAGCAGAGTGTTACCAACAGCGTGGATTCAATTCCTACATTCTTTCAACCTCACCTAAGGCATGGTGAGCCTTGGCTTAATCCACCATCAGTCGTCTCTCTCTCTCTAATGAGAGAGCAGCTCTATGGCCTGGTAGGACTGTGCCAACCTTACCTTTGACAGTTTACAGCCTTGGGCACTCATTATGGAATTCCACAATTTCACAGTAAGACCTCCGTAATCCACTTTCTTACATCCCTCACCCTCACCCCTCTCCAGCTGTGTTTTGTTTGTGCCTTGTTCACTTTGCCCTCAGTAAAATGGACCCATTTTCTCCTTTACACAGCTCCAGCTCCCTCTCTCAACAGCCAAGAAACCAGCATTTTCCAACCCCTTTCAGTTCTGAAGAAGAGTTATATCAGGACTCAAAATGTGAACTGTTTTTCTCTCCCCACAAATGCTCCAGATATTCTGAGTTTCTCCAGAATTCTCTGTTTTTATTCCATACACACACTCATGACAGCCAGCTCTACTTCATCTCTTCTCCCTCAATGGTGACAGACTGCTTGCTTGTTCGATATTCGGTCCTGGCTGAGATTTTCTTCAGGCTGCTGTTAAAGATTGGAAATGCCAAGTTGTTGTCTTTGAGGCTCTCTCTTGCCATCGATTCATCCCTAGCCCTTTGTGTCAGGCCAAAAGCAACATTTTACAACGTTAATGTTGGATTGGTCCCTGAGCGGAGCCTGGAATCCCAGTTCTTTCCCAAGGACAGCCTCCTGCTCTGCAGTGTTACCTACTTGTGTCCCCCTCCCAGTTTATTGATTGTGGAAATTGTTACTATGAACTCCAGTCTCCAGGGTTCTAACATTTACCATCCATAAACATCAGCTGATTCAAAACTCTTAACGCCCAGATCCTAATCGCAAACAGTCCTACTCACTCATCACACTGACCTCGAATGACTCCCAGTCCATCATTGCCTTAGTTTTGAAATTCTGTCTAAACCCCACAGTGAGCTCAACTCCTCCTTATTTCCATCACCTCCTCCAGCCCAATCGCCTGAGGAATCAAAATAAAAACTGAAAGAACTGCGGATGCTGTAAATCAGGAACAAAGACAAAGAACTGAGTTCTGAGGAAGGGTCACCAGACCCGAAATGTTAACTCTGTTTTTTCCTTCACAGATGCTGCCAGACCTGCTGAGCTTTTCCAGCAACTTTGTTTTTGCCCCTGAGGAATCATCTGTTTTCCCAGCTCTGTCCTATCTCCCTTTCTCCTCACTCCTGGCAGATGCACTCTGCAAATTTCTCTCAAAACCGTTCTGCCTGTCTCCTCTTGTAAGACCACCCGTCCAACTTCTTTCTCCAGCCAAACTTTTAATCACCCATCCTAATATCACCTTTTGTCAGTCAGCATTTGTTTAATAGTGCTCTGTGAAATCATTTGGGGCATTTTCCTGCATTGTTGGCACTACGTAAATGCAAGTTTTAATTTCAGCTGACTGGCTTTCAAGTTGTTGCCTAATTTTGCTTTTGGTTAAATAGTTAAACACATGACTGATTTGGTAGCCATACTGCCAAGGATGCAATTACTTTACGTAATTTTTGACGTCAAAATCTGTAAACTGTCTATACACGTCCTTAACTGTAGAGTGGAAGATGGTTGATTACAGTCCTGTATGTAATACCCTGTCAGTGGCCATGCAGAAACCAGCATGCTCCCTGTCCATGTTTCCTGTGACTGTGCGCTCTTGTTAAATAGGGTGACCCCGGAGACCCAGGAACAGCTGCTGATGGAATGAAGGGTGAGGCAGGTCTTCCAGGATTACCTGGACCTCCTGGTCCTCCAGGTCCAAAGGTTGGTTTCACTTCAATAATTTATTCATGAATTGTTCTTCTCAGGACTTTGCAAACGGCTCGATCTTACACTTCAGCATTCTGCCACTTGTGACAACTTCAGAACAAGAGAAAGATTTGCATTTATAGCGCACCTTTCACAATATCACGACACCACTGAGTGCTTTATAACTAATTAACATACTTCAGAAGAGGAATCACCCCTGTAATGTGGGAAAATGGCAGCCAATTTGCTCACAGCAAGCTCCTACAAGCAGGAATGGAAAATGCCCAAACTGTCTGTTCTTTGATAATGTTGTCTGAAAGATAAATGTCTCACAGGAGGGCAGGGCAAGGGGGCAAGGAGAATTCCTCTGTTCTTCTTCAGAATGCTGTCTCTGGATCTTTCATGTTCAACTAAGAGGGCAGAGTGGCCTTAAATTTATGTGAAGGACTTCACGTCTGACGCTCCCTCAGAAATCTCTCTGTGACAGTGCAGCTTCCATCAGCGCTCCCACGATAGTGCAGCGCTCCCCACAGCAGCTATCTCCCCGTGACAGTGCTCTCTGCTACAGTGTGGCTCTCCCTGGGACAGTGTGGCTCTCCCCGCGGCAGCGTGGCTCTCCCCACGACAGCGTGGCTCTCCCCACGACAGCGTGGCTCTCCCCGCTACAACGTGGCTCTCCCCGCTACAGCGTGGCTCTCCCTGGGACAGTATGGCTCTCCACGTGACAGTGCTCCCCGCTACAGCGTGGCTCTCCCTGGGACAGTGTGACTCTCCCTGGGACAGTGTGGCTTTCCCTGGGACAGTGTGGCTTTCCCTGCGACAGTGCGGCGCTCCCTGCGACAGTGCGGCGCTCCCTGCGACAGTGCGGCACTCCCTGCGACAGTGCGGCACTCCCTGCGACTGTGCGGCTCTCCCCCCGGCAACGTGGCTCTCCCTGCTACAGTGCGGCGCTCCCCGAGACAGTGCGGCGCTCCCCGAGACAGTGCGGCGCTCCCCACAACAGTGCGGTGCTCCCCGCAACAGTGTGGCTCTCCCCACGACAGTGCTGTCTGCAACAGTGCGGCTCTGCCCGCGATAGTGCGACTCTGCCC